CCCCAAAACCCCAAAACCCCAAAACCCCATAATTTGAAGATAGTAATTTGATAGATATAAATTTAAATCGATGTAAACTCACATTCTTTTGCTCTGATTGGGCGTGTGAATGGCTTTGAAATCAGATGGCTTGACAAGCTCTGATATGGTCGCATTGCTATCAAAGATCTCATCATCATCGTCATCGTCTAGGATTTTAAGTCTTTCTTCTTTATCCTTTTGCTTTCTCCTTCTCTCCTCTCTATCTTGATTTATTTTAACTTATTTTTCAGCATCCCGCTAATAGTCAAGTGTCTCCTCATCATTGTTGGAACTTTGTTTGTTATAGATTTCAGAGACGTTCCCAGTTGGGGGTAGCTAGTAAATAAATTCTTTGTACATACTTGCTATTGGAAATTCAATTACAATTGCAAGTAGCAAAGCAAATAAATAGGAGAATGCTACAAATGCAAAATAGTACAAGAAAGTGTCATATCCTGATACCCAATGCCCTCTCTCTGTATTGTATTCTCTAAATTGCATAAACATACCGTGAGTTAAGAAAGCTCCATATGTTAATTTGGAATATGGAAGCCAAAACTTATGAGATAAAAATTTTCTTGGAGTTCTAAAAGAGGGTTGTCCTAATATCATTGGCATTAGTTGTAGGAATACTCCAATAATAAAGAGTGGTCTCGATAATAGTAAGTAAAACAGATTTCCCGCCAATGATCCATTATTAGGTGAATTGTTGATTAATTGCATGAGCATCACTATTATTAAGCAGATGACGAAACCTGCAATTGAAAATAGAGTAGATTTTATTTTTGAATCAAGAAGCGTTTTGTAGAATCTAGGAATTATACCAAAGCTATCTGGTGACTCATATTTATATGAAAAGTAGTTGCATCCTAAAATAACTCCTATTAGGTAAACAGGTATTCTTGAATATGGTTTTACATAGTAGACAGTCCAGTACTCATCATTGTATGTAAAATAGCTGACAGATAAATCATTAGCAAGAATTACACTTAATTAGATAATCTTCGACACAAAGAATATTCCACCAACAACATAGTAAAAAATTCTTCTCTTATTGTAATATAAATGAACAAATAAAGGGACTAGCAAGTAAAATTAAAAATCATTGGCTAGATACCATGTCCAAGGCATGCAAGTGTCATCTCTAGCAAAAGGAATTAGATTATTTAAGAAGGTGATATGCCAGAACCAAAACCTAGAACATTCCGTTTAAGTTGAATACATGAAAAACATAGGGCCCTCTCCTCCAAATAAGGTCAAGAACTTCCAATAAAAAAACAGAGCAAATAAATATGTTGGAAATAACCTCATGAATCTATGTAGATACAATCTCATTACTTAAGTCCATTATCCGAATGAACCATAGTTCTAATGTAATCTTATCAGCAAAAAGTATGATGAAACAAATGCAGTCATATAGAAGAATATATCCACTATGAAATCTGCTGCTAAAACCAAACTGAACAGAAAATCACTCATGAACTCTTAAATTATCCCCATATTTTAAATTGGTCCTTTCAAAATGTAGAAAAAAGTATTGCCAAGAATAATCCAATTAATGCAGAATACCCTTAAACCATTGAATATCTCAAACTATCTATGATCATTCGAAACTCTCGGCTTATAAAGCTATTCTAGACTATTCCACAATGAGAAGCATTTGATTATCTTCTCCATCATAGTTGGCTCTTAATTCTTAATTACCTTTATCTTTTTACTGCTAGATTTCTTATGCCTAGCAGATTCATTAGTAACCATATCTTCTTGTTCTTTATCTTCTTCGGCAAAGTTTTCTTTATACTTTAGAGTTCTTTTTCTGTTTTTAATTTCACTCTAATCATCAGCCTTATTTCCATTTCTTTTCTTTTTAGACTTTTTTTCTTGTCTCTTTGCTAATTTCTCCTTCTCTTCTTGAATTTTTCTTTCTTGTTCTTTATGGAAATACCAGGCTGCGAAAGTTGAAAGAATAACAGTCATCGTAAAAAAGAATATCAAAAGTACTGTGAACCATGAAAGAGCATTCGCTCTGGTGATCTCATCATTCTTGCTTTCACTATTTTCAAATATCATATCATCATTCTTGAGCTTTATATTAAGATCAAAACCTTTGATTCCTTCAAAAACATTTGGAATTATTTGATTTAATTCAGCTACAAGGAATGTTTTGTAGGAGTTGAAGTCAGAAGTTTTGCAGATCTTAGGAACACATAATCCAATCGACATCGGAATTGGAAAAGCTTTAGGAACTGATGCCAATATATAGTGAAAATCAGTAACATTAAGGCAATCCTCATATCTGCCAAGGTCATTATAGTCTTTTCCTGAATTCCTATAGATGTCTTCAATCATTTGCTCATTGTCAAATATAAAAGTAGAGAGACTATGCAATAACTCTGAGCAAGATTTAAATTCATTAGGCTATTCATCTCCTACTAATACATTTTCTTAATTAGCCAGTTGTAACCTGATAGATTTTGTATTATCATAGTATTATTTAACTGAGTCTTTTATTACTTCATAGATTCGTTCATCGTTCAAGGTAAATTAATCGAAGAAATTATCTTTGCCTAGAATTATGTTTTAAGTAGATGCAACAAAAAACAAAAGAGCAAAAAATATTTTTTTCATTTTTGTATTTTATGATAATTATTATAAAAGGGATTATTCCCTACTCATGGGGTTTTGGGGTTTTGGGGTTTTGGGGTTTTGGGG